CTCCAGCGGAAATAGTTGTACAATTATATACAGGTTGAGATTTTTAATTATTTCATATATGTAATATTTATAGGAATAATCATTTATATAAAACATTACTATTGGTTCAGCTTTACTTTGTACTATTGTAATAAATTTTGCACTATCACACCCTAGGAAAACATTTTTTTTAATACGTATTAATCTCATTTATGAATTTTTAACTTTTTGCAGCTTTTCAATTTCTATGATCAAGCACCTTAAAGACATTTAACATTCTTATGCCCAACACTGACTTTGTTATAAGTTATAAGTTTATCTGCTTACATAACTACTTATATTCAATATGAATTAAGCATAATACGAAATTTAGTTGATTATAACTGAAAACATCTAAAAACATTGAAACATTTTATTAAAACAATATTATATACACTTCGCTTTCTGTAATGAAATATACGAGTGAAACGCGACACTGTATGTATGTATTTTGTCCTGGGCGTGCTGGACCGTCCACGGCGTCCAGCCTGGACGACAGGGACGTGTGAGCGAAGGGCATTCCCATGCTACAATAAAAGGGTCGACAATAAACAAATGTCTACTGTATTGAGTGAAACACCCCTGGTTCTCCTATCCGTTCCTCTCCTTTATTTTCCCCGGTCTGCTCCACACACTCTGATGCTTTAAGGCGGGACAGGACGGGAGTTAGAGCAAGAACCCGAAAATTGCGTCAACCGGGATACATGGTCCCCGGGACGTAACAATGACAAACATTTTTGGAACCAAAGGATTAATTAAAAGTTGTGGTTATGAGATCAATAATGAGAACCAATGGATTAGCTAGCAGCTAGCAGATTGATAATTATAAATAATATTTAATTACAATTAATTATAATTAATATTTACTTACTGTGACATCAAGCATTGCACTAAATTTGACATTGCGAGTTTGGCTGACAGGGAAAGAAAATTCATTTTTTACAGATTGAATTTGTCCATAAAATAGTTTAGTTAGAAGATAATTCATATTAGTAGAATATACCTTACAACATACTTTACTCTGTTATTTTTTATCCTTTGAGGTGAACATAATGATGTAATTATATTATAAATATATAGAGGTATTAACTTGAATTTTGTATTGTATCTTACATTTCTATAAACTGTAACAGCAAGCATTTTCAAAATGATATACATACTAATTTAATAAAAATTTATTGTATCACGAAATAATTATGTTAAAATTAAAACTCAAAAAACTAATATATTTATAGTAACTATTTCTGTATCATAAATAATGATACAATTATTGTGATCCAAAGAATATTTACAAGGGATACCAAAGTAATTTAAGAAACTGGGTATAATACAAAATAAGCAATTGCATTTTTTATAACACTTTTTTCATTATCTTTTAAGACTATAGTAATCATTAATAACAAGAAAAAAACCTTTTTCATCAATGTGTCTACAGTAATTATTAAAAGGTACAATTAGCAAATTACTATATTGTGTATTCACTTTGTGTAATAATAGGTAATAATATACTTATAATATTTTTTTTATAATCATAGCGCGATTTTCTTTTCACGTGCTCAATCGTTTTCTACAAATATAGTATCGTATCTAATTCTTTATATTTATATATTTATATATCCAGTTGGATTATTATCAATCATTTACTTTTACTCCTATTTATATCAAGTAATCGAATACTAAAAATACAAATGTTTTGCATACAGCAAGTTTTAAACTCATCAGACTTCATTTGGAGCTGGTGATCTTAAAACGTATATCCATGTACATGATAAAATATTTATGGCATTGCAAACAAAATTAAGGAGCTTGTAACGAATTCATTGTATATATGCGTAAAGGAGCATAAAATGTAGTGAACGTTCTATTTGATATAGTATTATAGTCTGCACAAAAATGATGGTATGTTAAATGTGTCTGTAAACACCAATTATTTATTGAGCATCACAAATACACCATGCTTTAAAAAAATTATGTTGAATATCAACAATTGTCACATATTTCAATTGATGCACAATCTTTGGTGTATTAGTATTATTTTTAATATAATATGTATATATTATATGCAAGTATATGGCAGACAAACTTTAGAAGCTCCTTAATAATGTGAACATGCAAAAAATTTACTTATCTTTAAAATATTTATATTTACACACAATGCTTAGTTTGTTTATAATCTATACAATCATATAAATGTAATATTCAATGATAAAATTGTAACATAATAATTTCTAGCTTACCTATCTGGTATCGAAGAGAATATTTTACATCGAAATTACAATTTTTTTCTTTCCCACTTATTCTTAAATTCTGTTATTAAGTTACTATACTTTATATTATACATCATTCTATTACAATACAGGGCTGAATCAAATTAAACGTGATTTGTATGTTCATTTCTTTATATGTTTTATATACAGCATATATTCCCACCGTGTAAAATAAGCATGCTATTATTTACAATATATAATTCAAGGTTTATTTAACTAAATTCTGTCAAACAAGTAATAATCTACCTAAATAATTTAACTTAATATTAAAAATAGAGAAAAATTAACGATAATCCCAGTAGTTACGATTTCATTTTATGGATAATTTGTTAATATTTCTTCTATTTAAAATATTATTAAATTCAGTACTTGTCATTCATATGACAGAAATATTCATTTCAAATATTTATTGCCTGGTAGCCATCAAAGCTAATGAGGAAAAGAAAGAAAATATTTTCGCAGATATTTTGTGAAATGTTATTTTAGATTAAGAAACTAAAACAGTTTCCTGGAGAAATAAATCTTGTCTTTTGAAAGATTCAAATAATTCTAAAGCAAGTTGGGATTTATTTATTTATCAAGCATTAATGTAAGTTTAACAACACTTACACATTGATCATAATACAATTTTATAAAGATTTTACAATATACAAATGATAAAATAAAATAACCATAACATGTCATTTCTTTACTTTTAAAATAATCTAAGTTGCTGGTATATATTTTACTTAATGGAAATAATGGAACGTACATAGGATTACAGAAAGATTAATATACATTAGATGTAGGATTTTCTAAATGCAAATTCTGAAAATAAAGAAGTGCTATGATGGCTATCACAGGCTCACTTAGAACTGCCACCTCTAAACTGTATAATTTACATTTATACAATATAAAACTAGATTATCTGTTCACAAAAACAATAGTTCATATACATCACATACATACATATATAATATTATATATATGTATGTATACACATCCTCGTATATTTTAAGTGTTGCCAAAAGGGTGCTACTAGTGTTCTCAGTGCACAATCACGAAGAATAATTAATAGTATGACGATGTTGCACAATTTGAATTATCGCTAATTTAATAAAAATTTAAACAGTTCTTATATGTACAACAGTTCTTACATGTAAAGGGGTGCTTTATGTATCTTTACAAGAAATTATTTACAAAATATATTCATTCATATATTACCTATCAAATTAACATTGTATAATATTAATCGTTTTTTCTATAATAATTAATCTTATTATTTTCATATATTTATGCACGATTTATCCCAACGTTCTGTTTATGTTTCATAAATAAAATAAATCCTTTTTAATAACCCTATACCCTTTGCCCTCTGCAGTATTATAACTCAAGACGAACTTCTTACTGAAAGACTATGTTTATTAAAGTAACAAAGATGAAGATCTCGTTGCAGCAGAAATGACGTAATTTTGGTCAAATTCAATAAAATCATGAAGTGTACAGTGACATACACAAACTTTTTAGGATAAATGCGTTTTTCATTGTATAAATGTATAGAAAAGTACGATTGTCCTAAAAATACTTTTGAAAAGTCTTTTTCATAGATATAGATGGATTCAAAGAAGTATTTCAATTTAGAAACTTAAAGAGAATGTTTACATTTGTTATTTAGGATAATGACAAATAATGTATAATAATGATAAAGTTTTTCTATTTGCACATAATCATTTCCATGCAGAAATATTTATGTTCTAAATAGACTAAAATGAATGTCAAGTATAAACTAAATATTTTCAAACAAAGTCTGTCAGTGAAGTCGTCGGAGCAGCGACTTAAGCCCCACCAGTCAATGGAATTTGTCCTTAGAAATGTACATTTACGGCAGTACAGTCAGATTTTATGTTTAATGCGTTATTAATTTTGACTTCCATTTACCACACATTAACCTGTATCAGTAACTATTAATAACTGTGTTCAACGAATTATAGCTGTTTTAAAATGTGAAATTGATTTTTTGTTAGCTTAAGTCTTTTGATTTTGATCAAATAATCAATGTGTCAATGTTTACAGCAATTAGAAGCTAACGGAGTAATCTACAAAGTCAATCTAAAAATTTTTAATGTAGCGTCAATGTAAGGTAACACTTTATAAAATTTATCATTATATGACGCCTATTTAAACCTTTTAGGCGATAACTAAATACAGGGTCACAGAAGCTTGGCAAAAGAAAGTTGCACATCGACACGGCAGTTTTGGATCAGTTCAGTTACTTAGATTAAAAGATGATGCGTTGAGCAGATTATTCTGAGTAACTAAACTTTTGCTGTTTAGGAGTACAGTGTAATTGAGAACGCTAGACGGTGAAAGAAATAGTGAAGTTATTTTTATTTCCTGCGTTTTTGACGAGCGGTTTAAACATTTAAAAACATAACAATAATGATACCCTAAGAGAATAAAAATGTATATCCAATGTTCGCGATACTAGGAAATATAAATGTTCACACATTTAGTTTTATGAAACTTAACGTATGCTCTACTGCAACAAAAGAAGTTTGAACACCATCCAGCATTCTAAACACGATACTCCTGCTACATGTACAGCAGCATTGTGCGCTATTGACGCATACTGTTTCACCAGGTGGGGTCCAGCCACACGGCGATCACATAACCATTTAAAGCAGATATACAATCAGTCGGACAGGCCTTGACGAGCGACGTTGGCTAATCACTGTCAAGGTCACTTCCCGAAGGTCATTTGTTTTCTCGGGATATTCGCCTCCGTTTTGCCTGCTCTGCTGCCTCAGCTGTTACTAAAACAATGTTCCCGCTGTACGAGGTGTTTTCAATTAAAATGGTATGTGAAGTACACAATATATAGCTTATACTGTCATAAGTATTTATACAAGGTTCAGCTAACATTGAATCTACATATTCATTTTCAAGTATAAATTCTAGTATACTAATATAAGAAACTTTAAATGAATTCATTTGTTCCATCAATTTCAATAGTAGTTGGTATTCAGTGCAAGTATTAAATACTTTACGTACCAGCACCACTTCGTGTTTTTCTTCTCGTAATATCTTCTGTAGATCTAGTTGCACCCCTTGTATTACTTGCTGGTGTCGCTAGTGGCGATGCTGTATTCTGTCGAACAGATCTTCTTGTCGTTACTTCTCCTAAGGATTCATTACTGGATGCGGAAGTACCTCGCAGCCTTTCCTTTCCAGCAGTAACTACCGCAGTTGTACTGGGTTGCTTGGTGGTTAATAAACGGCTCTCTCTTTGCACTCTATTACTGGCATTGAAATTTGATATATTACTGGAATTAATTTGACTGCCAGAAACAGTTGTGCTTGTATTTGTTCTAGAATAACAAAAATTTATTTACGTAGCGGGGCTCTCAAATCTCTGACATATTCAGATATGCACTGCTGCTAAAAGAATGCACCGATGTTGCTTACTTTTGATCTTTAGACTTTGGAGATGCAGCGGATGTTTCGTCTGATAATCGCATTCTTGCTTTTCCTACAGATTCAATCAACGGTTCATCATCAGACGAATCTACTTCTACCACAATGGGACCTATAAAAAATACAAAAATATTTGTAACAGAATGTTCAGGTCCAATTTCCAAAGAATATTAACAGGTAATGTAAAAGCGATTTCATAGCAATTAAGGATAGACATGACTGAGATTGAGAGATAGTTGTTTAATAATTGTTAACAGCACAAGTGAATTTGATAGAATATAATGTGTATGTAAATATATGTATACCTATGTGTATATCCATAGATACATATATACGTACATACACATATATGTAATAATCTCAGTTTCTTTAACATGGACAAATGACAATTATTTTCAATGTGATTAAACATTTTCACAAAGCAATTGAAATTTGCACATTAATTACTCTGTTTTTGGCAGTCCTCGTCATTGTAAGAGCAAACATAAATGATACAAACACATATCTAATACATATTTATGAAAACCTTATCACATATTTTATCACTTGAAATATTTGCTACATTTTTATTGTACAATTACAAAATAATAATTCCTACAGATGTTACCCGGTTTTGCATTGTACACATTCTTTTGGTTGAATGTATTGTAGGATCAGCTTGAGTTTCATAAATGTAAAACTGTTCTATAGGAAAAATATCTTTCTACGTACTGTAAAACATTCAAAGATATATTTGGAACTGATTATTTTGTACAGTAAAGTCCACGAGAGAACTACCTTTTCCAGCCGTGAGAGAGCTACCGATTTTCTCTTCCACTCCTTTGTAGTATGCCGCACTAGCTGGACCGGCTAATCTTTCATCGCTAGTCAGCTGCAGACAACAAAGTTGTCAAACCAGTGTATGAAAAGTAAAATTTCTATAATCTTTATTTTACGTAATTGATATTTATGTCTAACAGATTCACAAGATCTTCCTGATAAAAATTAGTACAAACATGCTCTCAATCGAACAATTTTTATACCTGGACTTACAAACGTGTACATGCGCTGATATATAACTAAAAACAAACCAATTTATGCCATTTTTAGACCCACACTCATCAGGAAAATCCGATCGGTTCATTAAATATATTTTCCTGAAGAAAAAAACGAAAATTATAAAAATTTTAGTTTTCATATACCGATCACACTACTTTGTTGCGGCCGCTGAACTAAAACGGATCACCTGAATTTGGCGCGCTCTCATTCACTCCGGCCAAGCTCAGGACTCGGCGTTATCTTAATTGTCATCGCGTCTGTTACCACGAGAGAACTACTTTGCGAACTTTGAAAGTAGCTCTCTCGTGGAATTTACTGTATTTAATAAGCAGATTCTACTATACAATACTTTTTAAATAGGTTTAAATTTGTGTCATGCAAATCACTGAACAGCAGATTTGATGTCAACTATTAATAAGAAAAATAACATATATAAATATATATATTCACAGTATATGTTTCTTGACTCTTGTTTAAATTGAATATTTTTTCATCACATTTCAAAGTTTTATTTTTCTGTATTCTAACTATTTCTGGCGATAAAGTTATGTAACTGTGTATATTTCATAAACACGTGAAACTGTATTACCAAATTACTGTATAAAAATACTGAATAAACACCTTTCTTAGTCTTGGCCAGTATGTTGAATCCTTTTTTCGATTGTTCTTCTTTCACAGGTACTTGTTTCTTTAAAGAACCAGCTTCATCTACACCCATGCAAGCTTTAATTAGTTCTGCAGCATTCTCTGAACATTTCCGTTTCCCTGGTCTTGGTTGTGGATCATCAGCAGTACTAGATGCTACAGAACTTTCGCTTTCTTGACGTTTTCTTTTCCCCACTTTTATTGTCGTATTAGGAGATAATTTGGATACTCCTAACTTAGGGCTTGCTTTAGCATATGGTGATATGCTGCGTCTTTCTTCTAATTTATTAGGACCATGAGGACTACTTTTTGGAGTTTTTACGATGTCAGGACTGTTCAATTTTTGCGATCTAGTTCTTACAGACCTTTTTTCATTAGTCTCATTTGGAATTTCTATAAGAAGTTGTTCCAATAATGACTTTGGCGGTCGTTTAACATAATCATCTGAACTGTTAGAGTGTAACCTTTCTACAAATTGTGCATCATCGTTCTCCTCTATGCATATGACATCTTGGCGTCCCTCTAATTCTTGTTTTCTTCTACGCTTCCTTTTCACGTGTTCCACATCACTGGAATCGACTTCTGGGTTTTGCGCTGCGGGGCTTGGAGTCTCGTCTCGTTGTAAAACTACTGAATTAGAGTATGTATATAATGGCGGAGTAATTCTAATCGGCTGAGGATCTTCACCGAGAGGTGATTGAATACCTATACTTATATCACTTGCATCGTTCACAATCTTTTTAACCAAATCATCTGTCACTTTTTGAAGATTCATAGAAGGCTCTCTAACTGATATTTGTTGATGACTTTGTACACTAGATTTTTGGTTTTGATCGGAACATTGTTCTAACTTAACCAATGTAGCGCTTAAAGAAATGCTAGGGCTTTTCGAAGCTTCCGATTGATCGTTTTGCCTTGTATCATCAACTTTTGTATTTATTTTAGACTCTACTTTGATTTCAGAACTGAAACTCTGACTATTGGAACATAAACTGTCTGCCACCGTGCTAGCCTCATTTGTAATTGTATTATCAAGTATTTCCGTCTTTACGTTACTATAAGCAATATGATTTTGTATTACAGGCACACCATTATTATTTTGTCCATGAGGTTCATCACTTAATCTAATTGCACTGTTACCGTCTATGACTGTTTTTACAATGTCTTCGGATGCATTCTCTGGGCCCCGCGACACTTCACGTTTAATATTTGCCTTACCCTGATCATGCTGGTTAACAGAATCATCTAATTTAATGCTACAACTGTCTTTCTCAGAAAAGTCATTAGTCTGTTGCTGCGCACATTGCAATAAGTTATCACTATCCACATTACTGGCTACAGAAGTTGTCACGATAGTCACCGATCCTGTAACCATTGGATTGGATATACTTTTTTCATTGTCAGTCACTTCTAAACTAGCAACCAAGTCACTATGTCCACCAGTTCTTGATGTCGAAGAAGCTGATTTTTCACTAGGTACATCTTTCGTGTCTTGCTCACTGGAATTTGATATATTGCGGTTTATATGATTTTCAAGATAATTCGCTACAGACACAGGACTTAATCTTTGCGGGCCGCTGGACTTCATAAGTTCCGAATGAGAATTTGAACACATATCACTACTACTAGTTGAGGAAGGCACGTTCTTATTGGTGGTTGGAAGGGAAGATTCCCCTTGAACAGCAGTCTTTGCGCTGCTTTGTGTTACTGATTCGGTCGCTGGCCTATGCAAAGGAGATTCTCCTTGATTTGGTGACTTCTCTGAAAGAGCGTCCATTGATTCAATCCCTGAATCTTCACCTCCTCCTCCGCTGCTGACTCTTTCTGTGCTTGCGTCTACCCCGATTGCAATTGGAACCGTAGTTTCAAGTAATTTCTGCTTTACTTTTACTTCCGTTACATTGATTTCTCCAATTGGTAGAGTTGCCTTGTTGGAAGGTAGTTCAATGCTTTGGGATCTGGGAACTTGGTCCACTGAGTTTCCTGTTACAGAAGCTTGCGTAGTTTTTAACAAACTGATTCTTTGTGTATTATCAATCTTATTTTCTACTGTGGATCTATCAACTTGTTTCATATGATTCTGAATCACTCTTTTATGACTAAAATGTTCTATTTTATTATGCCTGTTGATAGCGGCATTTGTATCACTCTTTGAAACCATGTGGTTTTTTAACTTTTGACTAATAGTCTGACTTTTTGTGGTGATAGTAGAATTTGTCTTACAATTATCTGCATCTGTTTTATTTTTTCCAGAAATTAACCTATTTACTGATGATTGTGCACTCTTTACAGCAGTGTCCACATGTGCGGATACTTTGCTTTCCAGATTGGCGGATGAATTTGAATCACTCTGTGCAGGCATATTCGAAGATACTACTCCAGGATTATCATTTTCAAATGCTGGAGTGCAGGTAGGTTTTGTGTTTGTGTTTGGAACTGCATTAGACGTAGAACACTCAGGCATAATCTTCTGGCTATTAAAATGTGTAGTTTCTGCATCTTGAGATTCTGTAACACATCAGAGAAACAGAATTAACATTAAATCTTAACATCTAAATGCACTTCGAACATTACAAATAATTAATAAGTATAAAATAACTTCACAGGGTTATGAAAATATGATATTCAACCAAAATTTGTGTAACTGAATATTATATTATATATATTATAATATTCAATCATTATGAATATTAATTGAAATCTTTAAAAGATTTCAGTTTTAAAAATTTCATAAATATTAATTGAATATCAACCTAGAAAGATAAGCTGGATATTTACCTTCTAAATGCAGATCTTTTTCATCCATTAAACTTAATCTTCTTCTTTTTTCTTGACTAATTAAATCCTTTTTCACACCATTCACTTCCGTTAATCTGGAAGCAATGGCATTCAACGTATTATTCTTTTCAATTGCCGACCTATTAATGTCACTATCACTTGTTCTTCGAATTTCCCCCACTTTCTTGACCGCGTTGAAATCATTTCCAGCCAAAAGGGAATCAACCTTTCTCACAGATTGGCTTGAATCACCTTTGTAATTAAGTTTTCTCCACTTTGCTTGGTTATCCAGAATTCTGCCACCAGACAACAAGTTTTGTTCACGATGTAAGCCATCCCCTGACTCTGACTTCTTTTTAGAGTCTCTTCTTTTGGTTTTCCCTGTAAAAGCACACGGAAAATATAAAGAAGACATTAATTAATGACAATTTTCTGTAAATTATAGATAAAATATTTTAGTAATAACATTATAAGTATCTCACCTCCTCCTATTTTATGTTCTTGCATATGGTTTTGAATGTCCATTTCCACTTGATTTTTTGTTAAAGACTGTTGTGTATTCAATGGTTGATTCAAAACAGCGGACTTGTGTTTCGAGGGAGACGGTATTCTACTGTTTAACGGTATATCATCGACGTCGCTGCTTTTACTTGAACTTGGTTTCGTGATGCCACTTTGAACGCGTACATCTACTGGTAATTCTTGCTTTAAGGCATTAGGTTTTGATACAACTGTTTGAAGTATATTGTTGACTTTGCAAACAGTATTAGCGCTGTTAATCATCGTAAAATTGGACAAAGGTAATTTAGACGCGGATGAAGTACCTATAATCATACTTAAGGATGATTTTTTCTGCAATAGCTTGTTCCCATCTATACACTCCATTTTCTTTAGCTTCCCTCGCCTTTTTATACTAGTCGGATTAGATTCGCCATCTTTCAGTGGTTTCTTTTCTTTCTTTCTGATTTGTACTACCGAAGCATTACGCCCTCTTAAGGAAATGTGTAACGGAGGCACTCTTGGTTCATCACCAGTTCCTGAGTTAGGAATACCAGTGGTAAACATTTTGTTTACTGATTTATCAGCTTTCCTAATTGGTGGCGTATTCACGAAAGAGACGTCGACTTTATAAGCTTGTGTAACAGGTTCCGATTTCTCTAATTTTAGTCTCAGTTTGATTTTTTCTCCAGGCATCGGACTTTGAGTGGTTTCTCTGCTAGATTTTATTCTACTATGTTTTAAGCTTCCTTCGCTAGCAGTAGACTTCACTGTCGTCTCAGAATCCGATTGATCTGTGTTTGTTGTTGTGTCATTTCTTCTTGAAAAATTGCTGTCTGCATCGTCGTCCGAAAATATGGAGTTTGATCGGTCATTCGATGGTGATGGAAAAGAAAAGAAATCATCTTGATTATCTACTGCACTTTCTGGCTCTGAATCTGAACTCTCGCTAGGCATTGGTTCCAGATGTCCGGTTAAAGGGTTGATGAGAAATTGCCGTATTTTACCAGTCGACGTGTATTCTGGTTCAGGTGCTTCTTCTTCAGCCTTAGGAGATTCAGATGCTTCAACCTTCGTAGCAGGTGAAACGACATTATTATTAGAAACGTGATTGGGATGAGATCCACACTGAGAAAAGGCACCTGAAACTTGATTTGTAGTTGGCATACGCGCAGTATTGACCTGAGCACCTTGTAGAATTGTATTACTTTGTGCGTTCCACGTGGTCCCATTAGCGCTACTAGCTGCAGCCTGATAATTTCTGCTGAGAATATTCTGACTTTGCCCGTACCGAAAATCGGTCGTCGTATTAGTATTAACATTTATATTTTTAAGTTGGTTATGGTGTAACTGTTGTTGCACGTTTAACGCTTGATTTTGTTGTCCTAAATGGGACTGCGGTGGAACCGGTTGTCTTGTATAAGGAGGAGGAGTTTGTTGCCGTTGGTTGTTTAAGTAACTTAGCCGCTGTTGTGGAACATTCAAATTTACCGTTGAGTGCTGCACTATCTGCTGTTGTTGTAATAATGGCTGATTGGAAACAGATGTAGACTGTAACGATGTATTTACATTTTGCTGTTGTACCAACGTTGGTTGCTGTGTTGTCGTTTGTTGTGTAAGCAATTGCGAAGCATTTATATTCTGTTGCTGTTGCTGAGTTAAAACTTGATGCTGTTGCTGCTGCTGAAGTAGCAATTGTCGTTGCTGCAATGGTGTTCGAATTTGCTGCCCATTAACTGGATGCCTAATTGGAAGTTGACCTTGCAATTGCACCTGCGTAGGTCTGTATGCCAACTCTTGTCTAATGGGAAACTTTTGCTGTATTTGTACTTGACCATGCATCGATGATGTAGATTGTTGCATTTGTCCTGTACTAGAGGCTTGATGCACTACTTGTTGCGTCATAGTTTGCCCAATTCCACCAATGACATTAACTGCATGTTGTTGCGGAATAGTTGAGGGTTGGTTAACATTAACAGTTGCAAATGCAGATGTAGCAGTTTGAGATAAGTCAGAAATGACTGCTCCCCCTCCAATAAGGTCTTCTGTTCTAAGTGAATCCAAGTTTGGCGGCGATTCACCGGGGGAAGATAAGTCTTTCCTTCTCACTGTTGGTTTTTTAGTAGGTCTTATGCGATTAGCGAGTCCAGAACTATCGATAACAGCTGGTGGTAACATTTTCTGGCCAGGTATCACATTATTCGGATGTGTGCCAGCATCATTTTGAAGAAGATTTACAAGAAGTGGACTGGACAAAGCAACTTGAGTTCCATTACTATTTGAATTCCCTGTCAGATTATTATTGTTTGGTGACAGACTAGATGTTGTAGTAATTGTAGACTTGTACTGATTTGCTAACTGACCAAGTGATGCGACCGATTGTGTGGTAGTATGACCAGTCGTTAATGCTGTTACTGTTCCCAAGTTCTCTTGAGCAGGATACGGTGGAGGTGGTTGCACATGATGTTTGAATTGCATAGCATTTTTAATTGTTGTTGCCTGTGATTCACGACTGTGTATTGCTTGGGCAGCATGTGTCATACTGGCAAATGGGAATGGACCATTATAATTATTCCTAGGCGAAGCACTTGGGTTAGTCACTGGCTGGTTTCCAGAGGCACCAACATTGTTATTGCCTGATGTCGACTGTACGGATTTTGCAAGAAATGGTGGGATGGGATCACAATCTGTAGGCGCAACTACATTTGGAGAACGAAACTGTGGAGCTTTTTCAGATGATGTACCTAAAAAAATACAGTGTGCATTGAAGAAGTATCAGAAAATTATGTAATAAAATAATTCTGGTTTCATAAGATGTGTAATAACATACCAGTCGCTATTATTTGAGCCACATTACGTAAGGCTGAAGAAATGCTAGATGTATTGCTTGGACCAGGTGAAGCTGTTTGAGAATCACCTTCAACATTAGCTGTATTGCTAGTGGGTTCATTTTGAGATTTGGCACCACTGTCTTGCGAGGGTCCTGAATGTAACACAATTTCTTGTGCTTCTCCACTAAAGCGGTTGGCTATCCTCAGTGATATTACCTAATATATCAACACAAATATTACAGATTTATCAGGTACCTTCTATTCTATTTTAAATTAATAAAGCATATAAAATATGTGCTGAAGAATAAAAGGTACTTAAAATTTTATGCATATACTTAACTTATATAACTAAGTATGCTATTATTAATAAGTATTACCTGATCTCCTTCAACCTGCACTGAAAGAATGCCAAGCTGTGTAAGTGTTGGAGAACCCTGAGCTGCTAATTCTCTAAGACGTAGCGCAGCTTCTCTGGGTATTGAAAATGTGACTCTAACAGAATTCCATGGCTCTACCTTATTTACCTTTAAACCATCTCCCTTGTCTAAAAATATAAAACAATAATATTTATGTATATATATCTATATATATAGATATATATATATATATAACAATTACATGCTACGTTATGTCAGTATTTTGTATCAAAATTACCCTTGCAAAGCAAAGATTTAAGACGATTAACAATAATTTTAAACTTATGTGGAAATTCAGGATCTTCTAGGTCTCCCTCACACGTTACCACCGTCTCAATCAAATCACCATCACTATCAGCCGCCATGACTAAAGTACAAAACATACTGATATTATTTTTGTTATTAGATTAAGTATTGAAACAAAATCAGAAAATGTTAAACAAACAACTTTTAAGTCAATCTATTCTAAGTACTTAATAAAAAGTAGAACTTATTAAGATGCATTGTTTATATTATAATATATAAAAATTTTATTACTTACCAACTACAAATCACATAACTACCCAGAGAGCTTACAAACGCCTCAGGGTATTGCTATGGTATATGGTGATAAGATGTTTATCCGTCGGTGTTAAACCGACAACTCCAAACCACTCCAGCACTAATAAATATGTTTATTGTTTCTATAAAGTAAAACAATAAAATTATATTATATGATGAAATATAAAACTAAAGTAAATTTAACTATTATATAATTACATTTGAATATATTGAAGAATCAAAAAGTAATTAGAATTATAAATATAATGACTTCATTATAATATAATAACACAATGAAACTATATATACATTACATGCTATTTTTAAAAATGTTTCTATCAAATATGCTTGTTACTATAAAAACATACACTATCTGCCAGAAATTTTATGCCATAAAATATATATTCAGGTTTATAAACAATTGAATTTATTTCTTTTTAAATTATTAGAAATGATAAATAAAACAAAATGTATAACGTAATACATGAAAATATCTTCTATGTTTTTTACTTACAAAATAAATGCAATCATGTAATTCAATTTATTTTATTAAAGTATTTAAATATTCTATGTAGCTATCAACATACATATGTTTGGTTAATAATGATTTTTAGTAAATTACACAATAAATATGTAACTGAACTTAGAAAGTGGATATTAAATAAGCAAAAAACATTACAGTATTCACCACAAATATTATAATAGAAAATTTGAAATCTGAATACAATATTCATCGATTTATTATTACTAAATTACTAATATTAAATTTATGAATTTTTAAAGTATGATTGTATTCCGTTTTTAGTAATTACTAAATATAATATAAAAGATCGCATATTTACATAGAATCATAAATAATAATATTAAAAATATATAATTTATCGAAATACTTTGTAAACAAATTAATAAGCAGAATAAATTAAAATATTGTTGAAGAAATATATAATGATATTCACCTGCGTGTGATTACATTATTAAAAACATCGAATGTGAACATAAAATTGACAAGTGTTACCGAAACAAAACACTCAAGAAAACATAGTGCATAAACAAAAAGTGAGACCAACGAGCATTACTAGGTTATAATTTGATCGCGATTTTCATTAAATTATACAGATTAATGAGAAAACTGTACATTTAGGATCAATTATTTCGTCAATATTTATCAAATCGGCGGGTATACATAAAGTAAATGATATTCGATTAAGTCTTACCACTCCCGAACTACAATTAAAATCTTTTGGCCGTAAGACGGGGGCACAACTTCTATACAGAAGAAAATAGGTTATAGAATACTTTTTTTAATCAGACGCATATTGTCGATCGTCCTATTATTCGGAATTCAGTAATTTGATATAGAAATAGTTCATTTTGATAATTTCCATAATGATTTTCGGCAAAATAGGCATCTAGAGCACTCGCTATCGGGAGGGGGGGCCTCCATTTTGTACGTCGGGGGAGGTGTACGTGAAGTGGTCTCAAGCATGCTCAAGATAGACCGTCAAAAGTCGAAACATTTTTATTTCGCAGCTCTCCTATATGTTTCATAGTCGCGGATGCTTACCAAAACAACGTTAAAATTTAAAAATAAAAGGCATGGTGGTCCATGAGCCTCACTTCAGTCTTTGCATCACACGATTCGATACCGTATGAACACAAGAAAATCTTAACGTTACCCCATTTCTTTCCAACTTCGTGCGGGATTTCTCGCGTTCAAAATGCAGGCAGCCACACCACAAGAGCACTAGTTTTAATCTAAAACACGCCGCCCAAGTTTTACTTCACTTTCTGCACACAATGCGCGGTGGGAATCACGAAAAAACTCGACATAATCGGTAATATAAAGGGACAAGTCATAAAACGCCATGAACAATAACAAGGAGCCGCCATTTGCAATGCGAACAACTGACATGCGCAAATCAATCGCGCGGGGCATGCTGGGTATTTAAGAGGCGCCATCTTGCTAATCATTTTAACATTGAAATTTCCTAACCTAGTCTTGCTTACATTCATTGACTAAGATGATTATTATTACCGCATCTACGATTACCTTATTTTAATCTATATTTTTGCCAGACTTTATACAAAAGAGATACTTTTAATAAGTATTTTGATGCAACTCATACAAGAAACTGTCTTTATTGTCATTAATGAATGATGCATCTTCAGATTAATTTTGGAAAAATAACAAATTAGAATCCTATTTATAAATACATCAACTGTTCGAGACAATCGATTTAACAATTTTTTATCTTGAATATAGATAGATACTTTAAATATACATATTTACCCAGTGGATAAAAATAAAATTTACTTTGTAGTATAGATATTAGAGTTCATACTTTTACTTCCTATATAAATAAATACAAAATATGTATAAAGAAATAATTTAAATGAAAATTAATAAACTATAGACAACACATTACCCAAAACAAATACCTATTGAATACCTGGGTTTTTTGAAAAATGCCAGTTTCTAAATTTCAAAATAACATAAATACTTCTAACTATATGTTTGAAACAATAATCTTCTATTAGATTTATTTATTAAGTATGTACATGACTTTGTAGATGAAATCCATTGTTAACACTAAACTTTTATGTATCAGCACGAAATTTAATCTGTCGGACATGACTGCATGAGTCCAGCATCGTTCATCCTTTTTAACGATGCTTCTGGATCATATGATCTAAAATAAAGAAAAGATTCATATTAAAAAAATTGGAAAAGAAAAACAATTTACTCATAATGTAGATAAAACTTTGATTACTTGTAGAAATCTTCAACACGCTTCGCAGCTGGATCAGAAACTAATGCTTTATACAAGAAGCCAGCAGTCAAAGAAATTACTGACATTATCAGTAAACTCTTTGTAGCATGTGTACGATGAAGATGACGAAGCTGAGGTTTCGCTAAATGTGCTTGCGACATCTAGAATATTGCATTAAGTAAACGTATAAGACATATAAAATTACTGGTATAATTAAACGTAAATGTAAACATTAACTAATTTATTCAAAATGAAACATTTTTATATAATATGTTTGAGTGGCATTGAGTATTTCATTTCTTAATAAACATTTCTAATTTTCTATTTTTGATAAACATTTCTAGTTTTCTATTTTTAATAAACATTCCTATAACACAATATACGGCTAATATAACTCCAATGAAATATATGTACCTTGTAACTTTCAGTAATATTATATAAGAAAACGGTTAAATAGAATCTGTATGATATATATAAAGAAATTATACTTTAATATATACCTTGAGGTTAACAAAATACTCGATACTTGTAATACCATGAACTAGCAATTACTATGACAGGTTAAAGAGAAGATTCGAAAGTATAAAATAGATATTACGTAATACTTAACGTTCCTTTAAATAAAAGTAATATCCGATTTCATTGTAACAATAGTAAGAGAAATAAAATAATACATACTTTTATCAATGAATTAAAGCAATATCGATAAACTTGAAATTTTATACTTCGTAGAGAATCAACGTCGATAGAGTATCACCAGTATCACCAGTATCACCCAGCGCTAGTATTACCCAGTATAACTTGGAAACTTCCTGGAACCGGTTCACACTTACAAACTGAGAACTACTATGCTGTAGACGTATTCCACAATAAATTCTCTACAGATCGATGTGTTCTTAAAGTTGCAAATTTTTATACTAGACCACAGCCGACCACGGGTATAAAACTCAGAGGTTTTTCTTGGTCGATTTGCAGCGCCATTGGTGATAAGGGCCGGTACTAAACGATAAAATAAATATATGTATATTATGTAATAAATTTAATAAACATATTTAAAATTGCGAACACCTAATATCAAATTTATTATAACTCAAATGTATCATACACGATCTCATACAGTAGCCACCAGTCATTCACTGTCTCGTCTATTATAAATCGTTCCGAAATTCAAACGCGTCCCGGATATTCGGCACTCGTTTTAGTACCGGCCCTTATCACCAATGGCGCTGCAAATCGACCAAGAAAAATCTCTGAGTTGTACACCCGTGGACGTACTGAATACTCATGATCTGACAACATTGCGTACTTTAGACTCGACAACACTGTAGAGGTACACTAGTTGAGCTCGAATGGATTTAACGTAGTTCACAAATTCACCGTTCTCATAACGTAGAGGGCAGCAGAAAGTCCCTGCCTTTTTACACGATCGGTATTTCAGAACATGAGACACGAAGTCCCATCAGATGATAGGTTTATCCTATACCTAGTCGGTGGTAATATCCAATAATGGTTGCGTTCGGAAGCACAACCGTTGCGCAACCGTTGAGTGATTTCACTAGATTTTCTACCGCTTACCCAGTAGGATGTACCGTTCAGAGTTAAAACTAGTGAAATCATTCAACGGTTGCGCAACGTTGTGTCTTTTGAACGCAGGCAATATTTCCACTACAGCCATAGGAGAGAGCCCTATAGCATCCCCATTAGAAAGAGAGGAAAGTTATTCCAGTTACTGTCCTCTCTTTCTAGTGCCGACTGACTTCATCCCTACCATAAGCTGCGCAGTCTATTATATATGTGATGTATGTCTATGATTTGGTGGTCAGAAAGACGAGACCGTCACTTTGCATTATAGACAATTATAGATAAAGTACATTGTTTTAATTAAATGTGTAACTCGACAGTTCATTTATAGTTCTTTTTTGTTAGATCTACCATACAATGTTCAAAATTTCTTAGCAATAAAGTATTTTCGATGTCGATGTTTATGGAAAATAAAGTATTAGTGACAACTGTCGGATCGCCTAATTGTTGCGTAGGTGGTTTATCTGCATTTGGACTGTCTCATTATACTTGCATTGACTTGCATTAATAAAGAATAAAAAGTGTTGACGTCAAATTATACGGTTTAATAGTGAGTTCGAAAAGCATCGAAGTTATTCTTTCATTATCGTCATATTTGTGTTTTTACTGTACTGCATTCAATCTTATGATATTGTTTGTAAATAGTATTTATGAATTAATTTTTTGGTACGTAGTGATAACTATTTCTTTCATATTTCTTGTGTTCTATATTTACTGCACTAATTGTTTTAAGATTACATTAATATTGTGCTTAATTTTGTTTTATTTCTGTGTTTTCTTCCAAAATATTTTATAGTGTATCTAAAGATATATGTACATATTCAATTATAAATAATTTAAAAATTTTATCTAAAATATAAACATGTGTACACTTTTGTTTCTTTTATTAATTACTGTCATACACAATATTGTAATGGTTTATAATTAATACATGTAGATGTGCCACAATCTTGTGAATCATCTTTTATAACATGTGTTATGTATTTTAACATTTTTTATATTTTATAGATTTTATTTGCGGCCGTCTAAAAACAGTCAGCTTCATATATAGCAATCATGGAACAAGTGATTGCTTTAAGTACACAAAATCCATTGTCTTTATTGGTCAAATTTGGGATGATGGCTTGGAACGACACATGTGGCAATGAAAATTGTTCTGGACATGGTGAATGTCACAATGGTACTTGCTTATGTGAGGTAATCTTTATAATAATTATAACACAATTCTTATTGTGCTTATTTCACTTTTACATGTAAGTTTTACATTTATTTTTAGATTCAGTTTGATGGATTGGAATGTCACGTTCCAAATTTAAGTTATTACATTGCATTCGCAACTATATTCTTCATGTTGGCATTTGTTTGTCTAATACAACTTATTATGTGTATTGTTGCTGAATGGCAAAAAATGAAAGCCCCATCTTTTCTTAGAGCATGTAGAGTTACTACACAGAAAGTCTTATACTTTATTGTGTTTTTGGCATCATTAATTCGAGGAGCATATTTTACATCTCCGGTAAATACAGCATTATCAAATTTTGTTAATAATTCTACAAACTGTTACTCTGTAATATTTTGATATTTCAACAGAATGCATTCAAGGAAGGATGGTCTAGAAGTTTACTGTCTGCATATTATCCACTTGTTTTAAGTGGATCCTCGTTAATTGTTTGTTTCTGGGCTGAAGTATTTCACTTACGAGATATGTCATGGGATAAGCCACAGTTTCTTTCAAAATCGTTTATGGGTTTTGCAGTGTTTAATGTATTAACATATTCTCTGCTCTTAGCAGAATTCATTACAGCTCAATTGTATTCACAGGAGCATCAGGTAAATTAAACAGAAGTATAATGATTTATTTAGTATTAAAATTTTTCTCTGTATTCAAGTACTTCGATTTTATTATCATTAATAGAAATATATACTTAAACTTACCTTTTTCAGAGCTTCTACACACATATCTTTAATGGGTGTTATGCAGTACTTCTGTTTATTGTTGTGATCTTTTTCTTAATTTACGGAGTGGAAGTCTTTTTTAAGGTAGTTCAATTTAGGAACATATTACATATGTTTCTTATGATCAACAAATAAAAAAATCTTTGTTTTGTTTAGATTCGTGGTGGATTTCTGAACGACTATCAAGGAAGTACAGTTGTGAACAAACGCACAGTTTCTGATTTAAAAGTTAACCCTGAAGAACAAGTTACAGCAAAATTGTTTGATCCCATTCCTAGTACATCGCAATCGTTGGAAGTGCAACAACAGATAAATATTTCTCAGTTACATCAGTCTCGTGTTGGATTATTATCGCAAGCTTTTATGCTTTTTATTATAGTTGGATTTTTATGTAGTGAGACACTTAGCGAATTTTGGAAGACAAAGTAATTCCGTGTTATCGAAGTTGGAGTAGTATTGTGGTTTCCATGCGTGTTATGGAATTGTTTTAGGTCAGTTTTCTTGTAATCAAATTTTTAATGGAATTTCCATTATGTAATAATTTATTTGAATTATTAATATACTTGTTTCTTACTACTTTAGTCCAGAACAGCTATGGATATTGAATCCAAAGCGCATATTGAAACGATTAGATCAGTCGAAGTACGTAAAGGAAATTGAATTACAAGACAAAAGTGGAGAACAGGATGCTGCATTATGTTTAGATGGAACATCAATTAGTAGTAAGGATTGTTGGATTTGTTATGATAGTGACAGACAGGATGCTGGCCCACTAATACAACCTTGTCAGTGTAGAGGTGATGTAAGTGCAGTTCATCACAACTGTTTACGTCGATGGTTGGTTGAGGTAAGATATTGTTTCAATTTTATATTTCGTAATTTTTTATGAGTATGTATTTGTACCTTTATACATTCTAGAGTTCTGTAAATGCTGATAGCTTGACGTGCAAAGTGTGCGGTACGCAGTATAATGTTGAACATGCAAGCAGGTTGGATTGGCAAAACAGTATAACTTCCCGACACTGTTTGCAAACTATAGCCATTGTCACAACAATGTGTGGATCATCAGCTGCTGCCTGGACGCTCATTCAATTAGTTGAAGGTCCTATTATTAGAATGTTTGCAGCCGGTACTGCATTGCTGGTGATGTACGTTTGTATAAGGTAAGTTATGAAATAGTGATTAACTTAACTATTCAACACTTTCGTATGGGAACAACGTTCACTGAAAAACTTATTTGTAGGTTTTTAAGTTTGAACACGGTAGTGGCATATCAACGTGCCAAAATTTCATCTTTAAATATTATTAGTACCGATAGTAACGGAACTGCACACGTTTCTACCATCAGTCACACGGTTTGTGTGGATCTGGCAAAGTCTGAAACAGCCACGATATAAAAAGTACTTGTCCACTTTCGTTTTACTTATAAGGATAATTTACGGAAAAATGTAGAACAAAATCCTTAAAATGTTAAGTAGAAATGGATAATTTGCAAAAGTGTGTATATTATACACAGAACATTTTTCTACGATTCTCTATATAACTTGTAGTTACTACTCTTGACGGTCTCTTGATGAATTGTGAAAAATGTATTGTGTGTTAATTTACTACCGTTTTGAAGAGAAAAACGATTGCCAAATTTTCGAACCTTCGTACATTTTTCAACTAGTCTGTTAACAAGTTACCGTAAATTTAAGAAATTTTAATTGTATTTGCGTCCTTAGTAGCAAAGTTATATCTATGTTTTTAATGTTTATTACTAACGGTAAAACATTTGTCAGTATACAAATTTATACTACTAAGGAATAGGACAATTTTTATTTATTTTATCAATATCAATAACGTGATAATTTTGTGAGTGTAATTTCAGGGTTATACGAATTTAATATTGGACATTTGATGTTAATGTTATTTTGTACCTTGTACAAAATTATTGAAATTGTACAACAAAAGATTTTCACAAAAATAATTTTGGGATAATGTGTTTCCGCGATGACAAATGTGTAATATTAGAATTAGTATTTACGAATTATACTAGGAATATCCACAATTTGAAAAATGAGAATAATGCAATGTTAAAGAAGAGAATGTTGCAAACGTTCAAAAGTAACAAGTGCATAGATCTGTATCGTTTTTGAAACTACCATATTCTCGTAAATATAAAATACTTTCTTTTTCATTTAAGATGTAAATACAATAACCGCAGTGCTGCATGTATACAATTGTACATGAAGACGTATCTTAAATTATAAATTTCAATTTTAATATACATACAATTATTTTGAGTACTATAAAACATATTTGCACGTAGCCGTTGTATATGGTTACATAAAATTTGTATTACGTTTATTGTTGTAGATCAAAAAGATTGTGAATAATATTACATATGTATTTAATGAACAATTTGTTTATGTCATGCTTTTTAATAAGTAGTTGGTACGAATTGTTTTTACGGTATACGAATTTTATATTTGAAAATACTCGTATTTCATATGATACTTAGTTTTGTAGAATGTGTACATAGTATTATAGAACCGAGGAGTGATACAAATATTTCCTTTTTTAGAAGGAAGTATGTTATATAATATTATCATGCTAACAAATATTTTCTGCTGCATTTTTTTTTGTAGGAGAACAAAAGCATCTCAACTTTAATATCTGACTGTTACAGTTGCTAACTTATAGCTATCATTTATATGGTAGTTCCATTAACGACTACTGATATATAAATTTGTAGTTTACAAAATGTCAATGATTAGTTATTCTATATTAGAAAAGACTAACAAAAATAATATAAAATTTGCTTAACATAAAGTTGTAAAATGTTGAAATAGAATTATACGATGCAATAAAATATCATTTTCATTGTAACTTTATTTTTTTATTATGAAATTGGCTGATGTTAAGAAATTTATATTCGAAAATATAATAATTCTTCTGAAGAATTATGTATGGGCTGTAAAGTATGTATTTAAATTGTAACAAAGGTTTGTGATATTGCATATACATCTAAATGTGATGTAATACACCTTTTAAAGTTTGAAATCTCTAATTGGAAGAGTTACTACCATTATTTTCATTCTCTATGCTAAAGAACTCAAAACTATTACTATTGTATAACATGATAAAACTAGTTTCAATTTACATACGTATAAATGTGTATCAACATCAGCCATGTGCATGTACATGTAGAAAGGAAAGCAAATAGTAATAAGCTGTGATAATAAGAATTGTATGATATCCAACTAAGTTGACAAATAAAGATGCTAAAACAAAAGTGTAGTATTGATTATTATATATATATATATATATATATCAAATTAAAATACTGATTAATAAAAGACGAATAAAAGTTTTGATCTGTGTATGTAGAAGAGCAGATTATAATGAAACGTTTGACTTTGTAGGCATGATTCCAAGGTAGCTTTTATTTTTATTTAATTTTTTCGATAATTATTTAAATAGGTATGTATAAGAAATACATTTTACCAGCTAAAGTGAATATTTAATGAGTAATATAATCATAGATATACAGATATAACAGAACTTAAAATATAATTTAATATGAACTACTAATTTAAAGTTATATATTTCTTGACATTAGATCTGCTCTGACTGTGCATTAATGTTACCTGTTGCCATGTGTAAGTGTAAATATTTCGGCAGGTTACTTCTTCACGTTGAAGTTGGATACTGATGGATAAATTTTAAATGCAATTCTTTTTTTTCTCAACCTACGCTGAAACATAGTAGAGATTGTATAACATCTGTAATTTCAAAATATTTAACAAAATCAAAATTACAGTTTTCCGTTTGGAAACAGTCCTGTTAGAGTTAAAACCCAGAAGAGTAACTAGGTACATATTCTGGAGACAGTAGGTAAACTATTTTCTACTTTAATCAAATTAAGCTTACAATTTGCTCCTAGAATTAAACATTTTACCTGCGATGCCTGCAATTGCTTCTGAAGCAAAGTATTTCACATCGACGTCGCTGTCAGTATTGAGCATAACAAGTACAGGTTTTACTTGAGCTTGCACAGCACAAGGCTCAAGATAAGGTCCGATTTTTTGAAGAGTTTTAGCAACATTAAATCGGACATTAGCAACATTGTCTGTGGCCATTTCTAATACAGTTGGAAGCATTACGTTTGTTGTTATTTCTTGACCACACACTTGTCATTCTGTGAAGATAATTTTGATCCCTTGACATTGCTAAAACTTTTGGTATGACTGTGTTTTGTGCCCAGTCAGGGCCGAATTTTTCTACCAATTTTTTCAAATTTAACGTAGCTGCTTCCCTGATAGCATATACATGATCCACCAACCAAGTCATACACAAAGAATTTAATTTATCGTTAAAAAATTCAACTCCAAGCTGCCCAGCTAGCAATGGCATGTACCTAGATAATTTTTAATATTTAGTATTTAGAATAAGGAATTTATGACTGTATATAATGAATTATTAAAAATACGCACTCTATAATGGCTAATCGCACTCGCCATTTTGAATCTTCTGCTAATTCTACAATAGCTGGCAAAAGTGACTGTGAAAGTTGTTGTATGCCAATAACTTCGTTGACGCATTCTAAATTACTGATAATATTTAAACGCACTTCTGAATATTCATCTCTGAGTTGTGACAAGAATAGGGGTAGTAGATGTTCGATTGTACTGTAAATAAAAATTTTTTGTGTTATTACTATCTACTGATTTATATTACGTTTCTAAATTTTGTATGAGTATCAATTTCACTTACTTGTGTTTTCCAAGTATTGGGCTAAGACCCATTATTACACTTGCTAGAGCTGATTTTACATGTTGATTCGGATCCGATACAAGTTCTTTAACTATTGGTAATATATTTGTCATAATGATCGATTCCTGATTGAATTTGTCGAGGTTTTGACAGAAGTCACGAACTTTATCAGCTGCTGCAGCTCTTACTTCAGCCTCTATATCTTTTAACAGTACTTGAAATGCTGGTACAAGATCTGCTTTCGTAATTTCTGGGCCAACAGCTTTCTGCAGCTAAAACATATAGAAAGTAAGGTTAAACAAACAATTAGTATGTATGTTTCAACTGGACATTTAAAAAGGAAATATTAAGACATTTACATCAGTGAATTTATCAGCCACCATATAACGTACACGCCATGACTGATCAGTTGCACACTGTCGAAGTGTGGGCATTACTAATTGTTCTACATCTTCTTGTGGTAACAAAGCTGCAATACTAACGCATGCTTCAACAGCTAAGAGACGCACTGAGTCCTATGGAATTTAACAAAAAATTATACATATCTTATGAATTTTATAACAGTGGTAGAAATAGGTTTGATATTGTCGTACTTGTTCGTCTTGTGCCAGAATGACAAACATCGGAATTAAATCTGCTTTCACATATTCTATTTCCATAACTTTTGCAAATTCTCCTAAGTTTGAAGCAGCAGATCGACGTGCCATTGGTGTATCATCTTGACATAAGTTACGAAAATGGTTTCGTAAACATGCTGTAAGGACAAAAAATATAAATGTACAAACGCATAACACTTGATTTCTATATTTCTCAAAAATCAATTTTTTTTTACCCTTTTCTGATGGACTGACTCGTGAGTAACAAACGCTGAACAAGCCACATGCTGATGTTCTTGATGTAAACCAATCTCCTGTGGCTAAGCGATGTATCAAAGGAACAAAGTGCTCTTCTAAGTCCGTTGGGCTGTGCTCAGCAGCAATTGTTCTTAAAGATTCTACTGCTTTATCTCGAACTACTGTTTCTTCGACTGTTGCCAAAGTTTCTAAAGGTTTCTAAACAAAAAGAAATTTCTTATTGAAACCTATTCATTAATATTAAAGAACGGTTTAATAAGTTAAGTAACAATATTAAATGTTTATATGTGTAGTAGAAATATATGTAAATCTAACATTAACATAATAAAATATTTATATATCATGATTCGACAGTCAGTTAATTTTTATTACTTTAAACTTATAGACATAAAGAGTAAAAATATGGAATGATGAGAATCAATAAAAAACATGTGATATACTCTTTGCATGTGTCATATAATTAAAAAGAAAACTTCTTCATTGCAGAATAATGTTATAATTATTTTAGTACTTATAAAGTAGTCATACAGTTCATGAAATATAGTCTTTGCTTGAAGCTTTTAAAAATGTTATTACTAATAAAATATCATGATTAATTAGAAGCATAGTTTAAAAACTAAATATAAAACATATATAGACATTTTATAGTGTTATTTAAATGATACATACCAATAAACAGTGAACATATAATGGACCTCCTACAAGAGGAGTAAACTGTCCAAGCTGTTCTGCCAATCCTAGAAGCACTTCATCTTCATCATACATAGACTCCGTTAAAAATGGTATCAATTCAGTACGTGTTCGTTCAATACCCAAAGCAAGAGCAATTGTAGATAATTTTTTTATAGAGTTCAGCCGTAACTGTAATAAAAGAGATTCTGATGAAAGTACACATCAATCTTCAGGAATTAATTGAATTAGTGTCATTAATACTCTCTTCCTTCCAAGCATTAAAATATATTTCGTTGACCACAGAGTTTGTATACCTGGAGCTTTCAACGAGATAACCATTATACGAGTTATCAGTTAGAAACGTTTGATGCATTAATATTAAAAGCAGACCATTAATAGTAAAGTGACAGGAGACTAACAGAATACTTTGTTCAATTGTATGTAACTGCTCTAGCCGCCTTGACACAGTGTTTTCTCCGGTGGCTGTAAGCGCTACAATAAGTCGATTGACTAGCAATAAAAAAATATTGGGTTCGAGCACTTTTCGAATTACCTGTACATCTTCGTTTTTTAGTTCGTCGATCAAAACTGCAATCGGATAAAGGCTGTCGTCTGTGATAGAGTCGCTCGCTGCCATTTTGCTACCGATCGCACCAAAGCTTGGAAACACTTGGAAACTCCTCTGCCTCCTGTGCATTCAAGTAATGTTCAAATTACAGCGCCATCTGATGATTATTACTTTACAGAGAACTAGTGGCACATGTAAAATTTACATAGTGCGTTTCCTTACGATTTACAGTCATGTCAAAATGTACACTATACCTATTTACGTACTAGATCAATAGTAGTATTCACATTATATTTTCAGCAATTTCATTTCCACTGAGATAAATAACAACCTTTTAATTTTGTACGGCGTTACCATGGACCTGCATGGACCTGAAGGACAGCGCCTAGTTCTGGGAGGGCACGCAGAAAAACGGAAGGGGTATCATCACTTCATCATTCTCTAAATGACTTTCAGCCATCTTGTCATGCCATAGCGGTGGTACCACTGATCTCTATATACTCCATAAACTTCTATCACCGACTAGGTGTAGGATAGACCTATCATCTTATGGGACTTCGTGTCTCATGTTCTGAAATACCGATAATGTAAAAAGTCAGGGATTTTCTGCTGCCCTCTACGTTATGAGAACAGCGAATTTGTGAACTACGTTAAATCCATTCGAGCTCAACTAGTCCAACTTCTACAGTGTTGTCGAGTCTAAAGTACGTAATGTTGTCAGATCATGAGTGTTCGGTACGTCGAAAAATCATCGAAGGGACCATGGTCGTGAACGGATTCTCTTCCGTCCGTTCGCTGTAAAGTACTCTAAAAACCAAATAAGACCATAACTGCTTCGCGCAGCTGGGATGAGCACCAGAGGTCTCTCTGTAACATGGGCGATAGAATTTGTCATACACCGGGGGACATAATGAAGTATTTCTCAAGATATGAATACTTATGAATTGGCACGTTTGTACTTCACAGTCACTCGATGTATGATGCTACACGAGGCATAAGGATGCTCAATTGTGTAAGACGTTGGTAACTAAGGTAACCGAGAGGAATATGCGCAAACAAGACCGAAATTCGTCATTTCGCAGTTATGGTCTTATTTGGTTTTTAGAGTAGACGTATTATGTAGAAACGAGTCTTGGGTTCCAGTCCCGACGGACCTATTCGTCTTTTTTCGCGTACAAAAAAGTTATTGCGTTTAATATTGTTTTTATGAATATGTATATGTATTATTATGTACATTTGAGTCAATTATTTTATTATTCCATTGTTATTACAACAGTTTAACAATGACAACGAACGTATGTATATTTTCAAATATCAGACTAACAGTATATTTTTATTCTATATTATTACATATAAGTGCGTAATACGTATCAAAAACGTAATCGAAAGACAGATTTTTATTACACCACAAATATCGCATAAAAGATATTTCGTTATATTGACATTTGTAATAATTATGGATGTTGAGGGGAAATCAATATTATTGACATTATGGAACATATAACGAAATATCACTGTAACACTTAAAAAAGTTTTAAAGTTCCATTTATATCATTGTCCTGTGAAAATGTTCATACTTCCAGCAGCATTCATATTCCAATCAAAGAATTTACAGAATAAGGGAAAGGAATCTAACGTAATTTTCAGTAGTTCCATACATCTTTATCTCGAATACTTTTCTAAAACATTCAAAGTACTAGACATTTTTACACTTTGAATCTCATATCGATTTCTAAAATAATCCTAGTTCGATGTAATATAGAACGTGGTTTTATGAGATAGATTCGAAGTTCGCAGCCATTAGCTCGATATTGTCATCAGTTTACAGTACTTTACCGATGATAATACCGATTGCCCAGGCCTCACCACGAGGAGGTTGCTGCGAGTGGAGGCCCAAGGCAGGTAGATGGAATCACAAGTTCTACATCTACCCATCTTTTACAATAAACTTTATAAATAACTTAAATCTTAACTATGTAATACTATCGGTACTAAAATCCCTCGGTGGAAGACTTCTTTCTTGAGCCTAAACCTATAAAAAACAAAGTTCCCTCGTCAGTTGTAGTTGTCTTCGTTCTTCAGCTTAGAACTAAATTATCTTAATATTCTAATATTGACTCTACTATTGACTATAAGGGGGAGACTCCTTTGGGGCCAACTCCGAATCGATCGAAGCGCTGATGTAAACAATCGGACGCCAGCGGAAACACAAAATCGATATTTGGGACGGCTTGATAATACATCTAGCGTCAGTACCCACAAATAAATTTTGTTCCACGTTACCATCAAGCTGGGTTTGTGTATTTCCTACGCGAAGACAGTGTTGCCGGAAAGTATCGTGTTTCTGACGCTGTTGCCTCATGTCCCGCATGCAATTCTACCCGTGAGGAGAACGATGGAATAGCTACGGCCTACGGCTCGTGGCGAGATTTCGATTCTCGCCGAACGTCCAAGGCCAGCGACCGACCCATCGGCATACAATGTAAACAGTCGTAGATGAGATAAGGAATGACGCACGAATAAAAATTTAAACTTTTACAATTTGCAATATATTTTAATGAAAATGTCATGAATGAATTGAAGAAATTCTCCCGATTAAAATGCGTCCAAATTCGAGTGTAATTGGACAATTGTTACTCATACGTAATGTTGCGGATGAAAATGATATATTATTGAAAATAATCCGAATGATGTCGTATTTGGACTCATTTCCACCGACAGAATCTCCTCAGTTCATTCGTGACACTTTAATGAATGTATACTGAAAACTATAAAAGATTAAATTTGCATTCATGCGTTTCATTCCTTTTCTGTTTACATTGTATTTCGATCGTCAGTCGCTGGCCTCTCGCCCGGCGCTCAACAGCCCATTTATTCCTGCTGGCCAAAGTTAGTCGAAGGAACAGTCAAGCGACAATGTTCTTTAGCTAACGATGAGCTGAGGCAGACAAAAAAGTTTAAAAAGCCGCAAATCGATGTGATTCATATTGCACTATCCAAAATTCTATGCTGCTTATTTATTCACGGTATATTACAGTCTAGTCTGTATATACGAACTAAAATATGATTTGCAATATGAAACAGCCCGCGCGAAAGCGGGTACGTCAGCTAGTTATCCAGAAAATGATTTGAATGTTTATGCGAAGTTAAAGATTAGTCTAGATAATTAAGTTTTAATGATTTAATTGTAATTAGTTGTTTCACAATGTACAGGGAAATGTTTGACAAAACACGCACAAAAATAGTAACAGACACTTTTTTCAACTTTTTTATCTTAGCCTATAATGAACATTTGAAATATGCCTCTTGTAGACTTATATATCTAAGAAAAAGAAAAGCGAAGCTGCGATGTTACAGTTTCCTTATTACCATGACTAAGTATATCATTACTATCTATGTATATATATCAATAATACTGCTTAATAACAATAGTGAAATCGAAAGCTGGTTTTATGACCATTCTAGTCGACGTTCAACGAAACAGTATTCTTGTCTCTTCGTTTTCGATCGACACCCGATGGTGACTTTCAGAGTGACCTAGGTCAGGCCACCATTATCGGGCCCAGTCATAACAAAATTCGTCGGTCAAAGCAAAGAAGCTACGAGCACCGAAGTAGTAAAAAATCTTCAGGTTTATAAGTCGAAAGTACGAGTTTTTTAGTTTTGTAACTTATTTGTAACTCTAACTTGTAAGTCTAACCACTTTTAATAGTTTGTAACTTATACCCTGCAATTTTCAGCGTGTATGTATCTTAATTAAGTGTATAAGAGGTATTTGTTAAATTTTCACTATAGGATCAGAAAAAAAATGAAAACAGAACTTCTTAATATTTTTACTATTTTCTTTGCTATTCCAACAATTGTAATGTTTTCGAAATAACGAAAACATGTCATCTAAAAGTTAATCCTTCTAGCTTTTCAAAAAAACTCAACTCGTGTGGTCCAATTTTTAAAACAAAATACGTACTGGAACAGGTGCAGACGCAGCGAAGATGATACGCTAAGTACGCATGCGACAGCAATCAGTTGTTAGTACAAAATCTATCTCCGCTGGGCGACGAATGAAAGATTGACAGAGCGTATGCGATTAATTGTGTTCCTTTTGTGTCTCTTTTATGAAATATTTGTGTAAGTATATAACACCTGCGTCAATTATGTCAATAAAAAATAAATAAATATCATTTCCAACAAGAGATTTGTATAGTATTCCATGTTTTTCGTATGTGGAATACCCGGAATATATATTGTGCCATTTTTACAATTTGTTTCTCGAGAATATCATGTCAAGTATCTCGTATGTAATTTCATTAATTAAACAAATAAGCATCATTGCAAGTACGAATAGAAGGTTCATCCTTGCACACATTAGTACGTATTGTTTAATTCTCGGATTTCTTTCCCTCGCGCCATTTTTTTCCTACGTTCGGCGAGAATCGAAATCTCGCCACGAGCCGTAGGCCGTAGATGTTCCATCGTTCTCCTGACGGGCAGAATTGCCGTGTGGCAACAGCGTAACAAAACAATCGATACGATCTACCACGTGTTGCGAGGTTACATTTACCGACTCCCTCTGTTTTATTGATGCTCGTGGTAACGCAGGACAAAGTGACTGACAAATACCATAAACGCCTCTAGCGGAGAATCCTTGAACTATACCACTGTTTACTTCTGCGTCTGGACGCATCAAATCGTAAGAACCAACTTGTGCCTTCCAGAAGTGATAAAATGACTCAAACGAATTTCCATGATAGTGTGATAGTAGTGTACAGGGTGGTCTGGTCTGCGTTTGACGAGAAAACCATTAAATCGTGAGATATTTGACAAAATGTGACTTGTGCAGCCATCTTGTGTGTTTTCATCGGCGTCTGTCACAATCGCACACTTTCTAAAATTCTAATTCTTTCAATTAGAATGTGTTTATTGGTGTTTATACGGACCAGACCACCCTGTAGGGAAGTCTACCCGTGAGTTCTATACCAGTGAAAACTGCATTTGTGCAATTGTCGAGGCTCAAGTTGGTTCCTACGAAATCGAATGTCTCTCTTGTGCATCGCATATACATACACGGTTCCCGTTGATTGCGTGAGTGCACGGACACAGCGCACGGGCCACGGAGTCTCCCCCCTTATCTCATCTACGACTGTTTACATTGTATGCCGATGGGTCGGTCGCTGGCCTTGGACGTTCGGCGAGAATCGAAATCTCGCCACGAGCCGTAGGCCGTAGCTATTCCATCGTTCTCCTCACGGGTAGAATTGCATGCGGGACATGAGGCAACAGCGTCAGAAACACGATACTTTCCGGCAACACTGTCTTCGCGTAGGAAATACACAAACCCAGCTTGATGGTAACGTGGAACAAAATTTATTTGTGGGTACTGACGCTAGATGTCGTATTATCAAGCCGTCCCAAATATCGATTTTGTGTTTCCGCTGGCGTCCGATTGTTTACATCAGCGCTTCGATCGATTCGGAGTTGGCCCCAAAGGAGTCCCCCCCTTAACCTTAAACTGAAGCATCGGATATTTTTATTCTCGTCAAATCATATAGATGCACGAAATATGAATGGAATATATAACACTTCATTTGTGCTAATAATACTCAGAATTCATGCTTTATCGGTAACGTCGGGTATCGACACTAAAATGGTAACAGAGCTACGTAGCCCTATGAACGTGGGACAGAAAAAAGCATTGGATGATAGGTCTATTCTATACCTAGTCGGTGGTAAAAGTGTGCCTATGTAATTTCTATTGGCTGCTGCTGTGCACATGCGCAGTAACGCGATGAGTGATGAACGTGCGTAAAAGACGTGGTAGTGTGGTAGCCACTTTTGTAGCGTTGGAAAGTAACATCGGTCAATTTGTATTAAATACGTTAAGATTCGCCTACATTATGTAGGATTAAATAAAATAGTAAGTCAAATAGTCACTACAATTATTTAATAAAATTGTAATTTTTAGAGGACAATAAAACAATGATATAACATACCTAAAATATACTTTGTTTTATTCAACTATATAACTTACTTAAGTTTATTTATCATATTGTTCTGGTTTCTGTTATCTGAAACAATAAAAGATTTCCAATCAATATCTCTATTTTAATTCATCTTATATATTTTAAGAATTGAACTTGCATATTTTCCTTCAATTTTCATTATTTTCATAATTCTAATTAATAATGAGACGTCCATTCGCTAAATCGATTAACTTCACAAAATAAATAATTAAGATTTAATTTTGAATATGCAAAGTTATGAAATGTTAAAAAAGTAGAATTAATCACTTTGACCTGTGAACGGTTCATTAATAACCACTTATTTAATGTGAACTTAGACATTATATTAATTTGTGATTATCACTTTCGTAATTCGTGGTACCGAGCATGCATAGAAATGCAACCAATTTAGGCACACTTGGTACCTCCCTCCCCCCTCAAATAGGCTTCACCCCCTCGCCGAAAGTAGGGGTTTATGCTCCGTCCCTATGTTCCTATGTCCATGTGCTATACACGCAAAATCTAGGCGATCACGAAAATCGTTTACACTAATCGCCGATTTTCGCCTCAATTGTACTCGAGCGTCGAGAGCGATAAATATAACACTTGTGGTGTTGCAATAATTGACGCACGAGTTGAAAAATGAGAAATTTGTTAAGATCTGCGATTACTACAAAGGTTCACGACAGAATGCTCGGCGAGCAGCGAAGTTTCTACTGGTTTTAGCTCAAAATTCGTTAGGATTTTTCGGAAAAGCGCCGGATTGGTTCCAAGAATATCGATCACCGCAAACATATCAATAGATAATCGATAGTTCGCACAGAGTTGCGCAGATTCCGTAAGTACGTTAACGGCGCGCTCTAACGCACCACGTTCGCGAAATTTAGGGACGAAACTAGCAAATCGGCGTTGACGCGCGCCATTGCGGATAGGCTCGCAGTATGGTGCGAGAACGCCCTGTCTTATTTACTTTTGACGAACGCGTCTCTTACATTTTCATTCCGGAACAAACTCAAATACCGCTGTCACAAGTTATCGATATCTTCTACGGGGTAAGTAGACAGCTGTTCTGCCTACTTTTCCTGTACGTCGTTGAGTCTGTAGAGTGACTGTACGCCCCTTACGAACCGTGGTCCGCTGACACTCCGTGCGCGCGGATTGCCATGATTTGTGTCAATTTTTAAACGCTTATAACTAACAACCGAAGCATTTTTCGCAATTTCGTTATTGTTGATTTTCGTCTTATTTTGCCTAAAAGAATCACCCCTTAAATTTTTTCCTACTAGTTGTCGAACACCCTGTATATAAGAAGATACGGGCGTCATCTCAAGCGGCTTCGGTGACGTAGACCTCAAACGGTGTACATTCTCGCATCCATTATAATTGTCTGAAATAGAAAAATCAAGAATATTTATTAATTTTATGCAAATACGCACCGAATGAACCTCACTGAGCAAGAAAAACATGCGAATTAAATAAATGGCGGCACTCAGAAGAAAAGTTGACATTTTACCACAAAAAATTTGAGTTTCATTGTGCAATAAAAATCATTTAATTTGAAAATTGTATTCATTTTCGAGGTTCATTTGGTGAAGAATGTAATTTTTTATATGTTTGCACTAGGAGAACCCGATCGGACAAATAGTTTTTAGTTATATTGTATGCAGTTTTGAAAAAAGTGGTTTCGAGAAAAAAGCGTTTAAAGTTTTCTGTTATGAAAAGTAATACTTTTTCGATACTTATAGCTGTTTTGTTCTAATCAGCGATATCAGCACCATACAGGAGCCCTTCTGTTTCTTCATAAAACTGCTGCTGGCTGCTCCTGGCTTCTCTTTGAGCAGTTCGGGCTTCTTTCGAGCTGCTGAAGCTTCTTCGATCCTGGCGCTTTACCCGCGCTGCGTCGTACGTATCCGCGTATTGATTACAGTGTAAGCCTATCCTTATTTCTAACACATCCATAATTTTCAAGATGGCAAAATACCCTTCATTGAAAACTCCAGTAGCAATATATGCTGCTATTTCCACAGTTTGAATTCCGCAATGTAAATGTTTTGGAGCCAAACGCCAAACAGTCGAATTGAAACTCTCATTGACATTTTGCGAGTGTCCGCCCAAACATCGTTGCAGAAGTTCATCTTTAGATAAATCTTTGTATATAGGTAGTAAATGTTTTTGAACATCTGGATGAAGTGGGGCAGGTCGGTCAAAAGCATCTCCGGTAGTTTCAGCTACGCGCCACTTACACCAGCTCTCTGCACCCGGCAGGCAATTTTCGTGCATCTGCGTTTTATTTGTTGAGCATAAGTGTTTATATGTTGCCATTATTTCTCTTTTCATATTATTCACTGAATCAATATTTCTCCGATTTTTAAATATCGACGAAATCACGTCTGCATCATAAACTTGAGTTGAGCTTATGATTCCTTAATAACTGAAAACGTTTGGAAATAGTAAACATGCGTTTACTACCGCCAAAGAGGTCTGGAAGATTCCACTGCATACGTAGGTATTCCTATTTGAGGGGAACCGCTCTGTTGCCTCTCAAGCGCTCCCAGCTAACTGCTCGACGCACGGTCAAAAACTCGACTATAACTACAGTTAGAGGCCAAATATCGATCTGTAACTTTCGGGACAAATTCTCCACATGCATTAGAGTTGATTTAAGCAAAAAAAAATCGATTTTTTTTACCGTTTACACGAGACGACCCCCTTAAATGAACCAGGCCCCGTAATTATAAATAAAGTAATGACCGCAGCGCGGGATGTAACAAATTGGTGTCAGAAGTAGGATCCTTTTGATCGAAATATCGAAGCTAAAATTCTTTGCTCTCGTTATTTAATTTCAATCACGGCTTGTAACCTGCTTAAGTTTTTCACTGACACAGAACGCTTAGTGTCTCGCCTACCAAACCATTACCTACCACAATGCCGTTTTACCTTCTTTTTTTTCGAGGAGAAACCTTCAAAAGGCGTGCCCGCCTCCGTTGGAGGTTGTGGAGACGACCTGTGTGGGATTCTTACCACACTAAAACTCTTCGGTGACCCGTTCGGACGTCGGGCTGACCGCGACCACCGCATACCATGCGCTTCCGCAGCTGTTCCAGCCCATGCTCCTCCCCAGACGGGGGAAGAGCACTCCTTATGACGAGAGGGACTAAGCCCCCCCAGGGACGGATTTTAACCGTCCCTCCACCTCCACAGACAGCGTCGAGGGGTCACCACCCGACACTGAACTCCTTCGTTGAACTGGCAGCGACAGGAGTGACACCCTCAGTATCACCCCCCAGTCCTATTGCCCCGCGAGCAGCGCGAGGGGTTATCGCGGTTGTAACCCACTACACTCGCGCTCGCGTGGCAAATCGCCCCACAACGATGAGACATCACCGTCGTTCCGTGGGGCGGGGGGGGGGGGGGGGGGGGAGTGGGGGCGACGTACACACTATGGGGCCCTAGGGCCACCTGTACCGACCCCCCCTCCCGGGAGAGGAAGAGGAAGGGCTCCCACAGAAGCAGCAGCACTGCCGCCTCCAAGCCCTCCTCTCCGCTCTCCTTATGCCAGGAGCGGGATCGGTCCTTTCCCGCTCCCGCTTGTCGGCCTACTTCTGTCTCATCACCTATCTCACGGAAAGAGGCCACGGCATTCCAGGACCCCTCGTCGCAGACCATGGCTTCCACCATGGCCCGCAACGATAGATCCCACCTGATGGTGTATTGGAGGGTCCGCCGTTCATCGGCGAACGACGGGCACCCCTCCGGCACATGCTGCGTGGAGTCGATCTTCTCGTCGCATTGATGGCATTCCGCCGTCGCCTTCGCCCCGATCTTATGAAGATACCCACCGAAGCATCCGTGCCCGGTGAGTATCTGCGTGAGGCGGTGTTCAGCCACGCATCCAAGCATGGCAAGACCGTCCCGACCGCCCGCTTTAGCGCAGCGCAACTTCTCTCGAGCTGCATTAGCCACGCTCGGCGGGCGATTTCCCGGGTCTGGCGCCTCCACGCTAACACCACATCCGGTGGAGGGGGGTGTCTCACACGACGGTAGGCCTCTTCACGAAGATATACGTCGGCATTGGTCTCTGCCTGCAACTCAAAGGGGATAACCCCCGCCAGCAGTATTGCTGCTTTGTGGGAGATGGTGCGATACCACCTGACGAGCCTGATGGCCATCCCCCACTGTAAACTGCGGAGGACTTGCCTGCCTCGGCGGCAGCGGGCCACCAGCTCGCCAGCCTACACAGGTGCCTCATATAGGGTCATCGCTGGCACCGACCTCATGTAAAGGCGGCGGACTCTCCCCTTCAGCCCTCCGACGTTGGGCAGGAGACGTCCCAGAAGGGTCGCCACCCTCTCCACTCGAGGGACCAGACGGTCGAAGTGACCTTCGAAGCGCCATCGGCTATCCAGATGGAGGCCAAGGTAATTAAACCTGTCCCCGACCTCGACCTGGCTTTCGCCCACTGGGATCCGCACCCTGGAGGGACGCCGCGACAGAGGCAGCTCGTGAAACTAGATGGCCTCCGTCTTTTGCGGTGCAATGTCCAGCCCCAGGGCTCGGATCCTGACGACGACGGTTGCCACCACCGCCTCTGTGCGGCGCACGATCGCCGCCCAGTCCCTCCCTATCACAACTATGAACGTGTCGTCCGCATACCAGACGACGACCGCATCGAGAGGGAGGAATCTCCACGGAACTGCGTCGTACCCCACATTCCACAGGGTCGAACCCAGGCTAGAACCCTGAGGCATGAGGCAGGTTATCGCCCTCACGAACATCACGTCCCGCCCAGGGTACTCGATGTAGCGGTGCGACAAGTAGCCGGACATCACGGCGTGCACGTCCCTAATGCAGGGTAGGGTGTTAAATGCGTTGGTGATGTCCAAGCTCTCCGCCAACTCCACCCCACCCCGGGACACGGCTGACTCCGTGATAGATTTGACTTAGTCGATCGCATCCAGCGTCGACTGTTCACCACGGAATCCGTACTGGCATTCAGCCAGGTCGTGTTGACTGCACGACAGGCCCGCTGCGAGCTGGGAATTGAGCACTCGCTCGAAAATCTTCCCGACGTCGTCAAGCAGACATATCGGCCGGTACGCCAAGGGCAACTCCGTGGGCTTCCCCTTCTTGGGGACAAGCACCAGTCGCGCGCGCCTCCGCAGAAGCGGCCACCGCCCAGTCTGCAGGCAGCTGCCCATCAGCCGCTGCAGCATGGGCCCAAGGACGCCTAGGGCCATCACCCAGGCACGCCCAGGGATGCCGTCGGACCCCGGGGCTGTGTTACGGACCGCTAGGCATTTGACGGCATCACCCAGCTCCTCCGTCGTCACACTCAGGTCGTCGGTCCATAATGCTGGATGCGGCAGCTCGGGCGGTCGTGGCCCCACATATCATCCGGCAAAACGGGTTTCCACGACCCTCCCGAGCACCTGAGGGTCCATGTTGTCCGTGACCGGGGGCACCGCAGGGCGGATCCGTCCCAAGACGGTTCGATACGGCCGCCCCCACGGGTCATAGTCCACCGAGCCGAGGAGTTAGTCCCAGACGCCGGCTTTGGCCCTCTTTATGGTAGGCGAGGCGCAGCTCTTCCTCCATTGCCGGGTCACGGATACGTATCCACCAATACACTGCGTGTCGCGTATGCCTCATGGCTTGGGGCATGACAGCGTCGCATGCTGCCGTCATAACGTCCCGGAATCATTCGGCCTCACGGTCGATGTCCACGACCTATCCCTCCAACGCATCCAGTCAAGACGCAGCAATGGCCGCGGCCATGAACACGTCCTCGTCCATCTTGTCGAGCGCCCATCTTCGCGGCGGTCGGTTGCCGACTTGACTTCTGCTTGGGCCCGCATCTAGGGTGGGAGCGGAGACCTCCATCAGGATATAGATGTGGACACTTAGAGTGGCCACCTCCTCCGCTATCCTCCACCACGACACGTTACGCGCAGCGGCGGGCGAAGCCCACGAGAGGTCGACAATCTACTCTCCCTGCCACCGCACGCACGTGCTGACAGACCCCGATTCAATAGTCGGAGGTCCATCCCTGCCGCCCATTCCAGCACCGCAGCCCCCTTTGTGTCAGTCCGTGGGGAACCTCACGCTGCGGACTTCTCATTGAAGCCCCCCAGGACCAGAACCGGACGGGGCAGGCAGCCCACTGGAGCGTCCCTGACGCCGTCCAGCAGGCCCTTGAACTCCGTGAGAGAAAGACTCAATCCGCGGTTACGCGCAATCACGTTCAGCGCCACGGATTCGTCACCTACTTTTTTTTTTTTTTTTTTTTTTTTTTTTTACGTGAGGAAATGTATTTACGCACACCCCCGCCATCCCCCAATGTGGGAGGAGTGGGCGGGGGTAGTGTGGGACTCACCCCCAATAGGGCGAAGCCCAGGGGGAATACCCACTAAACCCTCACGGTGGCCAGGCTCGGCGCTATGCGGGGAGGCACCGGGATCTCTTGCGAACACAACCGGTACCTCCCCAGCGCCGGCTCCGCCAGTTGGCGGCGGAGCGCCCTCTCTGTGGTGGGGGGAAGCGAAGAGCTCCCCCCCCACCGGACCGCGGGTGCCACAGTCCCGCGATCCCAACGGTCCCTTTTAGTCGCCTCTTACGACAGGCAGGGATTACCGCGGGCGTATTCTGTTCCCCGCCACACAGGGAAAAACAAAAAGCGCACCGCCGGGAGGAACAAACGTCCCCCCCCCGACGGCGGCATCAACGCGGGCACTTCCAGGTAGGGGTGTCAGCACACCCCCACATGCCCGGCGACCCCGCAACCGGCAGGCGAGCCCGAGGGCCCGTCGTCGCCAATCGTGCGGGGTCGCCGC